GGATTGCATTTAGGGATGTCCCTGGCAGCCTGAGATCTTCCAGAAGCTGCGGGGGGGGGGGGGGGGGGCACCGCCCACGAGGGAGAGGGGCAGGGAAGTGCTGGGGGGAAGGGAGGCTGGGGGCAGTCAGAGCTCCCCGGTGAGGGGAGGCAAGTGTGAGACCAGCCACCTCCCACCAGCTCTCAGCCCTACAGGGAGGGAAGCAAAAACAAAAGGATCCAAAAACCCCGGAGAACCCCCCAGCACAAGTCCAGAATGGCCCTTCACACAGCCACCGGAGCTCAGTTCTTTACGGGAAGGGAGCCAACAAGTCAACCACATCTGTGTGATGTTTCCCTCCTCTTAAGAAACGTTCAGAAGGGGTGCCTGGGTGGCTCAGTCGGTTAAGCGACTGCCTTCGGCTCGGGTCATGATCCTGGAGTCCCGGGATCGAGTCCCGCATCGGGCTCCCTGCTCAGCGGGGAGTCTGCTTCTCCCTCTGACCCTCCTCCCTCTTGTGCTCTCTGTCTCTCATTCTCTCTCACAAATAAATAAATAAAATCTTTAAAAAAAAAAGAAACATTCAGAAGCCATAATGGCAAAATGGCAAAATCTGTAACGAAGCTGATGGGAGAGAAGCGGATAGTTGCACGATAACCTCTGCATATGTAAGCATGCTTGAAGTAATTCAAAATCTAAGAAATAAAATTAAAACCAAATTTCTGCTGAGGAGAAAGCCTTTCACTTCTAAGAAGATGTGGGGCACACCGATGAACCCGCAGCGGGGCTGGAAGTAACTACCAATTTTTTTTTTCAGTTTGCCTCCGATGTTGCCGTGTCTCTTAGCAGTGCACAGTTTTGCTTTGCCTTCCTGGCTCTCTAAGGGTGGCGCCTGTCCCGGACTGGATCCAAGGCTTGTCCCCATCACCACGAATCCTCCCGTTTCCTATCGCCTAAGTCCTCACCCCCTGGAGACCTCAAGCTCCCATACACATCAGCTCCTGTCAAACAGCATTGTCTCCTGGAGTCTTAAAAATAGGTTAAATTCTTAGAAAGCCTTACTAAAGGTGAACAGAGTTGAATCTTACAGGAGAGTTTAGTGTTCAGGGTGCATATGGTAAAAAAAAAAAAAAAAAAAAATCACCTCTGAATATCCCTTAAGCCAGGCACAAAGCACCTAACCCGTAGCTTTTGCCAGGGAAGATCCACACTTCCTCCAGACCCCGAGACCCCAGAGTCGCACACGTGGGAGACGCCTGGGCCCTGAGCTTCCTGAGCAAACGGCGAGTCACGCAGGAGAGCTGCTTCGCCTGCCCCCGCCCGCTCCCTGCCGCAGATGCCTCGGAGTGCAACGGCCGGCAGAATTATATTTAAACTATTATTTCAGTCTCCCTCTTTTCTACAAGTGCTTACAAGTAAATGTGTGTGTGTTCGGGGTGTGTAGCCTCGGACTCTGCTCGCTTTATCTGCCAGAGCAGCTGAGCCCCCAGCATTCCAGGACTCCAGGGGTGACAGAGCCTCCAGACAAAGTCCCCCAGGTGGCAGAAAGAGCAGGAGCCTTCTCCCGGTGAGATGATCTGGGATATCTGGAGACCTGGAGGTTCGGGAGGAGCCAAGTCCCATGCACAACAGCCTCCGGGTCTGGGGGGTGGGAGAAAGGGCAGAGGGTGAAGAGAGAGCACTCATGCACAAGACAATAAGCCCAGGATTTACCGAGAGCCTCCCAGTGCCACAGACTGACTTCTCTGGCCGGACTCACTTGGCCTTCACAAGACATGGGAGTCTGGCGACCTTGGCATTCTAAGGGTGGGCCGCCACCCCACAGGATGCGTCCCAGGGAATGTCTGGGCTCAGGGCTCTTGCCCTCCCTTCCTCCTCTCACAGCTAGAAATGCTTCCAAATCTTCACACGTCCTACTCCTCCTCGGCCTCAGCATTAAACTTCGGGTCAGCGCTGCTGAAAGTCACACCCACCCTAGCCAGTGACTGGCTCCTCTCCAAGTGGCCGTCCTCCCAGGACACTCTCCCCAGCAGCTCCGCACCCAGCCTCACCTCCACTATCAATGCTCCCGCTGCCCAGAAAGCGATGGGCCTCCAGCTCATAGACAACCCTTGTTTCTGCTCAAACGCCAGAAGACTTTCTGGATTCAGAAACCCCTGCAAACAGAAACCCCAGAAAGATGGCCTTTAGATCTCCAAAGAAGACAGCAGCGCCCTCAGGAAGAATGCGGCTTTGCTCTTCCTTGTATCTTGAGCTGGGATTATAATAGAACCCAGTGGGTGGGATCTTTAAAAAATGTATCTTAGGGCTCTGCTATTCTCCCAGACTCTAGAAGCACACACTCTTGTTCCTGGGAGGGACCGCTGAGCTTTACACTCAGTGCCCATTCCAATGGAGAGGTCGAGGCAGGCTCCACAGAGTGGTTTCTGGCCATTCAAGATGATGCAGTTCATTTCCTTTGAGACTTGCTTCCCAATGGCACAGACAGAAGTCATGCAAGGAACAGCCCCCTGTCCTATCTGGTGGCACAGGACAAGGAGGGAGACAGGATACTGAAATGTAAGCTTGTCTCATATTGATGTTACTCGGGTTAAAGGTTTTTGTTGTCTCCTCCCATAACCTTCTGTCCCATCTAAAGAAAATAAAGAACTCATCCTCACAAACCAAAATGACCACGATTTGTATTATCCTCTTTTTAAAAACATTTACAGTTCACTCAGTCTTAGAGTCCAACAAACTATGTATTTTTTTTTTTTTAATTTTATTTTACAAGGATTTATTCTGGGCGGGGGAATACAGAGATGTCGATCGCAACATTATTGCCCCCAGCAACAAATTATGAAACAAGATAACCAAAAGAGAATTATGGGATTTTATAGGGTAACTTTCATACTGTGGGAAAGATTTTCTTCCATGGTTGAAACGAGATGCACAAGAACGACGTCCCCTATTTCTGATAGAGCCGTGTGTGCTGGTGATGTCTGGAGGCTCTGCGGCCACACCGAGATCATGAGGGAGTCAGTTTACTGGTGTGCTTGAATGCAAAGACCAAGAAAATCCTCCAGGTGTCATTGTGGCCTGGAAGATGCATGCTCAATAAATGGGGTAGGGGTGCCTGGGTAGCTCAGTTGGTTGAGCATCCAACTCTTGGTTTCAGCTCAGGTCATGACCTCAGGGTCATGAGATCAAGTCCAGCATCAGGCTCTGAGCTGGGCGTGAAGCCTGCTTAAGATTCTCTCCCTCTCCCTCTGCCCCCCCACCTCCACTCTCTCTCTCTCTCTAAAATAAATAAATAGATATTTTAAAATAAATAAATAAACGGGATAGACAGAAAGCCCAGAGGATTCCGTGGATGGCTTTCACGACAAAGGTGACAACTTGTCTTGCCTGTTGAATACTTTGAGGCAAAGCTCCTATCTGCTTCTGGGTTTCATCCAGAATTTAGTCCCATAAACTCCAAGAATGACCTTTAAGAGAGAGAAGAAAGCACGCCAACTAGAAATGCAAAGCTCATCTGGCTTAATATTCTGAAGTCTTGAGATACCACTGGTCTTAGCAAAGGGCCAGCACCCAGCATTCCTACCTGCAACACGACCACGTCGGAGCACAAAGGGCCAGTTACTCCAAGACCAGCGTCCCCTTTGCTTTGCACATGACATGTACATCTCATTCCTGCTTCATACATCATTTCTGTTTTCTCCAAGCCTCTCCCCCTGCACCTCAGGAAAGGGACGATGGGAAGAAGCCCGCCAAGCAGAAGTCTGAGATATCCGGTATTGGAAACGCTATTCTGATTCTGCTGAGGTTCTTGTTCTTCCGGCTCTCAACGAGGCCTTACTTCCCACCAGCTACTGTACATAAGGCACCTGAAAATAGGAAGATGCATTCTCGATCAAACAGAAGGCTCATTCTAGAACAGTGCATGTCTGTTTTGACCACTATTCATTTTCCATGGTTTACCTTGCCATGAGTATAGCAGATAAAAAACTGAGCAATGAAAGCTAAAGAGAAGAAAGGAAGAAAACAGAGTGATGTGTTAAACTGTCCATGAAGACCCTCTACTTGACTACCTAATAGATGGAACGCAATCAACATGGCCAACTACTACAGATTTTGCCCCCAACCAAGTCAGCATGCCCTCTGCCCTCCACAGTGCCTTCCACGAATAAATAATAGCATAATGATCCCACTCAAAAATAAAAGCACTAAATTTTATTGAGCACCTGTGATGTGTGAAGCGCTGTTCTAAACATTCTACATTTCCCTTCTCATTTCATCTTCCCCAGGTCTCCATGGTAGAGATGGCATTACGATTCCCATTTGCCAGATAAGGAAACTCATCTGAAATGTCCCCATGGAAGGAAGTTGGACAGTGGTGATGACCAGGGGAGAAAAAGTTTGTACCCTGCTTTAGCAAGTGGAAGGTAGCAGAGCATCTTTTGAACAACAATAGACATTCTCCGGAAGTTAGTTACTGAAAATATATTCGCTGAAGTATGCAGATGTAGTGACCAAAATATGCCATTTAATCCCAGACATTCTATGTCTCAGAAACCTAATAAAGTTCATTACCCTTATGAGTTGGTGTCAGGGAGAAAAAAAAAATGGTTTAGGCTTGGTGGTATTCATAGCATTCGCCACAGAAAATCAAATAAACCTACAACTGCACAAAACATGCCCGTGACCTCCCTGCTCACAGACACACCGGCTCCACATCTTACGTTCTATTTATATTTCTGCAGGATATTATTCGTCCATGTATTTGTTGATCGACCCCCTCACGTATGAAATTACATAAAGATAGGAAAGTTGTCGGTGTAAGAAAATACCCACTGCTGAACTCCTGGCTAAGAAATTAGTCCTGTGGGAAGGAGCAATCAGATCAACATCTTTTTTTTTTAATTTTTTACTTAAATTCAATATAGTAAACATATAGTGTATTACTAGTTTCAGGGGTAGAATTTAGCGATTCATCACTTGAATATAACACCCAGTGCTCATCACATCAGGTGCCCTCCTTAATGCCCATCCCCCCGTGACCCATCCCCCCACCCACCTCCCATCCAGCAACCCTCAGTTTGTTTCCTAAAGTTGAGTCTTGCGGTTTGTCTCTCTCTCTCTCTGTTTTCATCTTATTTTATTTTTCCTTTCCTTTCCCCATGTTCATCGGTTTTGTTTCTTAAATTCCACATAGGTGAGATCATGTGGTATTTGTCTTTGATGCCTTCACGGGCAGACTCCAGCCAGCTCTCAGACATAAATGGGGGGGAAACGATAGCGATGTGACTCTTCTACCTTTCAAGATTTCCTGAGACACGCCCGGGGGAGAGTGGAGAACTCCCCGAGTCCAAGCAAAGCTACAGACCACGAGGATCCAGCAGGATCCAACCCTTCACACCACAAGTGTTGGCAGTTATCAACCGAAGACGGGAAGAGCCAGCAGAGAGCCCAGCATGCGCAGTGGCCCCGGGCAGGTGCTCTGGGACGATGTTGACATCCTGCGTGATGGGAACAAGCGCTCCTCCTTGCTGCACCTGGGCCTGGCGCCCGTTGGCCACACAGTTCTCTCTGTCCACACTGCTCCTGAAAATGGTCATTTCATTCTCTTCACTCCATTCACTTGCATTCATCCTCTAACAGTCAGTGCAGGAAGCCTTCCATGGGTCCACACAGCTCTGGTCCACCTCTCTCGTTCCAGTGTGCACTTAATAGCAAACTGTAGCTCCACACCTCATCTCTTAACTGATTATTTAATACCCCTTCCCTCAAGACCCTATGATTCCTCTAACACTGAGGACCGTGTCTATCATGGTCATCACTGCAGTTCCAAGCCCTTAACACTGCTGTGCAGCGGGGGCCATATGGCCGGCAAGCGTTTGCTGGATTATCTGGTGAGTGAGCCCCAGAGGCAGTTGGGAAAGTAAATGCTCATTTTTCCAGGTGTGAAACAGCCCTGACCAATGAGACAGAACCAGGTAGGGGCTGGGGGCTTCTGGAATTGCTTGACTGTCCTGATAAAAGAGACAAGCATCCCTGGTTTTGGCTCCTTCCATACTACGTCCTGCCTTGAATATGGCTGTGATGCTTGGAATTAGGCAGCCATCCTGGGACCATGAGGGAAAGTCAGAGCCAATCATATGGCGTGGGGGCTTAATGTTTCTGACAAACCAAACTGACGTCAGCAGCTGCTGAGATCCAGACATCTTGCTAAGTAAGCAAAACAAAGCACTATCTCAAGTGGGTTAAGTTACCCGAGTTTTCTGCTACTTGCAGTGAAAGCATTTCTAACAGATGGTAGTATGTGTTGGGTGAAGCTATCTCAACACCTTGAGATTTCATCACCTGAAATTAAAAAGGAGATCAGATACCTTACACTCAGTAGATCAGATATCTCTAACACTCACTAAAACTGATTTTAAGGCAATCCACAATCTGATAGCTGGTGGAGAGAGAAGGAAGAGATATAAATACACCATTACAAAGAAGGGGTCTTAATTTTTATGCTGGTCTCACTAAGAGGGAGACTCTCACTTATCTCTTCCTCTAACATTACTACGAGTACTTTACCCACAACAAACATATAGTTGTTATCAACAAAGTACATAGAGGGTGATGTGTAGTTTTTAAAGCAGCCTCTCGCCCCTCCTTCATCCCGATATTAATTATGTAACTAGTTATGTAACGGATCAACATCCACATACTTGAATCCTGATCTTTTGATTTCATCATGTCAGTTCATTTCCTTTAAAATTAAAAAAATCGAAGAACAATGTTTCTCTAATCTATGACTAGCTATAATTAACTTCAAAAATATCTGTCCTTCAGCCACATAGAGTACTTTTTATAGTTGTTGGAGGCGTTACTGGTAAAGTACACATTGACACTTCATTCGAAGAGCTATTAATAAGGCAAGACTTGGATGTTTTTTCTGTGCTGAAAGTTCATTCCCCACCTCCCAGCCTTTGAGTGACTGCTGTATTTTTAGCCAACCAAGCTTAACCGCTGTGATCACGGTGTCAGGATCTGAGATTGAGTTTCTTACAGAAATCAAGAATGAGCTGGAGTTTTCCCATGCGCATATACAAACAGGCTGTCTTTTTTTATATCTGAGCTCAAATATTATACTGTATTCTGTTCTATCTAATTGTACTAAAATTTCTGACACAATATCCATTAGATATGAAATTTACATGCAGATGGCAAATAAATAGAATTTT